CTTCACCTGGAGGTTTGAGTGGTGAATCCCAGCATCCCTCAGGGGGACAGGGGAACCTGGAGACATTTTTGTCCTTAGACTGAGACCCAACGAACTCATTGCAGCTCCCACTGGGGTGATCCCGGTGTCCCTGGGGCGGTGTTTGGATGCAGAGGGTTCGGGGAGCCAGAGCTGGATGGTGCCACTGCAGGGAGGACGTGCCTCCAGGGGCTGAGATTCCCTATCAACTTAGAGGAAAACAAAGCCTAGGGGATAAAAATTCCCCCAAAGCTCTCCCTTTTTTTGCTGCTCTTCCAGCCTCGTTTGATTTCCCATTTCGTGAAACGCGCCGGGAGCTGCCGAGATGCAAAAGCACAACTGCCAGACGCCTCCAAAAGAGAAAAACAGGCTAATGTATGGAAAGAGCTTCCTGAAAACTTCCCAAATAAGTCAGGAACGGGCAGACGTGTGCAGCGCTGCTTTTTTTCCCTCTCTGCCACGGCTAGTCCTGCTCCAATGAAATTAGATAAGTCCCAGCTCAGTGGTTCCTGTTGCTCTATCTTTCTTAATATTCCCCAAAGGTTCCCTTTTTTTTCCGTGAAATACTAAAAATGAGTAAACTGCTGGGGAGTGTGGGAGCATCCGAGCAGCCCCTCCTCGGCTCTGTCTTTCCTCCAGCACAGATGTAACCTGCCAGCAGAGGCATTTTTATATTAAAGCACTTCTTATTAATTCCCCCTCTCTCTTCTGTCTCCCCTGGGTGTTTAGTGCCGACTGTCACCATGGAATCGGAGCTGGCTCCCCATAAATCCATAGGCGGGCAAGGAATGAGCTTCCTGGGCTCTGGCATTTGTCACTTCGGGGTGTTCCAACGAGCCCGGAGGATTTAACGGGTGTTTCTGGGCATGGTTGGGCAGGGGGAGGAAAGCACAGAGCGCCAGGGAGTAACGGCAGAGAGCTGGAAGGGATCCCTGCTCCAGGCCAGGCTGGGGCTCCAACCCTGGGGAGATGCTGGCCATCGATGTAGAGGTGGTGGCCACCAGTGTAGAGATGGTAGCCACCAGTGTTGAGAGGATGACCATCAGTGTAGAGATGGTGGGCATCAGTGTAGAGGTGGTGGCCACCAGTGGAGAGGTGATGGGCACCAGTGTAGAGGTGGTGGTCATCAATGTAGATGTTTTGGCCACCAGTGTAGAGATAGTGGCCATCAGTGTAGCGGTGGTGGCCACCAGTGGAGAGGCAATGACCATCAATGCAGAGGTGGTGGCCATTAGTATAGAGATGGTGGCCATCAATGTAGAGTCCATGGCCATAGTGTAAAGGTGGTGGCCACCACTGTAGAGGCGATGACCAGCGATGTAGAGGTGGTGGCCATCAATGTAAAGGTGGTGGCTATCAATGTAGAGGTGGTGGCTATTAATGTAGAGGTGTTGGCCACCAGTGTAATGGTGGTGGCCATCAGGGTAGAGGCGATGACCAGCAATGTAGAGGTGATGGCCACCAGTGGAGAGGTGATGGCCATTAGTGCAGAGATGATGGCCACCAGTGTAGAGGTGATGGCCATCAATGCAGAGGTGATGGCCATTAGTATAGAGGTGGTGGCCATCAATGTAGAATCCATGGCCGTCAGTGTAAAGGTGGTGGCCACCACTGTAGACGTGATGACCAGCAATGTAGAGGTGGTGGCCATCAATGTAGAGGTGATGGCCATCAGTGTAGACCTGGTGGTCATCAGTGTAGAGGTGATGGCCACCAATGTAGAGATGGTGACCATCAATGCAGAGGTGATGATCATCAATGTAGAGGTGTTGGCCACCAGTGTAGAGGTGATGGGCATCAGTGTAGAGATGGTGGCCATCAGTGCAGAGGTGGTGGCCATCAGTGTAGAGGCAATTACCATCAGTGCAGAGGTGATGACCACCACTATTGCCGAGCAGGGGTAGAGCCCCCCAGGGGATGGCAGACGGCCGAGGCAGTTTTCACGTCGAAGAGCAAGAACACCAAGAGGCAGCGCTCCAGCTCTTCCTCACTCATCCCTCCCAATCGCTCCTCTGCGAGTCGCCTTGGCTTTGCTCCCGTTGCTGATGCCTTCAGCCCACGTTGGTAAATGCAGAGTGTTCATAAAGCAATTTGGGATTTGGCTTGCTTGGCTGAACACTTCAGAAACTCATTTCGAATCGAGAGTTGCATCTGCAGCGGGATGGGGCCGGGACTGTCCTGGCGCCGGGGAAGGCTGCGAGCCGTGCCGGGGTGGAGAAGGACCTTTGCATCTCCCTGAGCCACCTGGATGGGCTGTCCCTGCTGCCCCTCGGCTCTGGATGGGGTTCGATGTGCCATCAACCCGCCCGCTCCGCCGACAGGTGGGACGGAGAAGTTTGGGAGGAGAACACAAGTGTTCCTTTCTGAACGTGCTCTTCAGCGGTGAATGAACCGGCACCCGCCTCGAGATGCAAATCTCCTGCCTTTGTTTGTGGCCCTGTGATCCTCAGCCTCCGGCTGGTGCCTCAATGCCCCCGTGGAGCGCGGAGCTCTCCGGGCGGGAAGGCGGGAGAGGATTCGCGTGCCCCGCGCTTTGTTCCCGCCGCTGCCGCCCGAATGGGGAGCGATTGAACGGCAGGCGAGGAACGAGGAGAAGCGAAATTGTTGGGCTCTGCCATGAAAAGGTTCTGCAGGTGGTGGCTGAATGGGCTCAGGTGTTGCATAATAGGTATCAACCGGGCTTTATCTCTGCGTTGGCAGCTCCTTATCCGGCAAGAAAACTCCGATGTGCCGGCGCGGCGGTCGCCAGTTGAATTAATTCGGAGCGGTTATTCATCGAGGGGAGGAGAGGAGCACCTGGGCTGCCTTGGAGGCTCTCCCGGGGTCTGAGGAGCAGTGGTGACACGTCCCATGTGGTGGTGCCACCACCCCGAGGCTGAGCGGTGGCCGCTCTCCCTGTGCCGGCGCTTGTGCCGGCTCCATCCGCTGCCGCCTTTAATGCCATCCCTTCCTAAATGAAGTGGAGAGATGGGAATCTCATCAGTCAAGGACTGCAGGCTCCGCTCTCGGGGTTATCTCAGCAGCTCAGATAGGCAGGAATTTGAGGATTTTCCTCTAAACAACCCTTTGCCAGGAAAACAGCTGATCTTAACTCGCTTTAGGGCTGAAATCGAGCCCGGTTCCAGCACTAATCCACTCACTGCATTTACAAATGTCAATTTGGGACCAATTCAGACCACGAGCAACTCGCTGTAATGGTTTCCTCTGGGGGAAACAAGCGTTTGCTGGGGAATGGGGAGGGCTGGGGGAACTCCTCTGGGTGCAGGCAGGTCATGGAGGTGGCTGTTGTGTAGCAGGGCTTAAAACTTCACGGGTTTACGTGCAGAAAAATACGCTGTGGTGGAAGGAGAGTTTGTGCCTGTTGTTATTTTGCACCCTTTAATTCCGGTTGCAGAAACCCGAAGGGTTTTATCACTGATTTCCAAGCAGGAGTTTGAGTGCTTGGATCCTAATCTTCAGCAAATTCACATTTGACTGCGGCCCAGCTCTTGCAGAAGATAGGGAGCGACTGGTTTAGGGGGAGATCGTGTTTGGAATTGCGGTTGCCTCAGGTCTACATCCAGCTGGGGTGCTCAGGGACGTGCTGAGACACCTGAACAGGGAAAACCATCCCTGAGGAAACAGTTGCTGCCCTGAAATCCCCACCACTTGTGTCCAGCAAGGCTATTTCCAACACAGCCAGTGATGAAATACTTTGGAGGATGCTGCTGTCTTTCAAAAACCCGTGGGATATGGGGCTGGTCCCGTTCCTGCTTTGCTGCTTGACCTGAAAATTGTGCTCTCTGCCCATGGAAGGATGTGGAGCTTTTGGCTCAGGTGCAGGAGGGACCTTTGTGCTCATGAGCTTCTGAAGTTTGGGTTTCTTCTTGGTTTTGTAGGCTCATGGAATGGTTTGGGTGGGAAGGGACCTTAAAACTCACCTCATTCCACCCCCTGCCATGGGCAGGGACACCTTCCTCTATCCCAGGTTGCTCCAAGCCCCATCCAACCCATCCTGGCGTCCCTCCCCATGGCAGGGAGCTGGAACTCTACGGCCTTAAAGGTCCCTCCCAACCCAAATCGTTCCATGACTCTATTCCATGATTATTTTCATCCAAAAAGGACAAACCCCATTATTTTCCAGGGGACAAATCCAGCCCAGTGCTTGGCATTCCCGGGGCTGCAGGAACCGGGTGAGGGCAAAGCTGGGGGAGAGCAGAGGAATTAAACCCTGTAACTTTTAATTTGTTAACCAGAACAGAAGCAAATTAACAGCTGCGGGCGCTGAAGGCTCTGTAACGAGATGTGTGTCGGGCACTTGATTTCCCAGGCACAGGTATCCAGTCTCATCCTTCCAAAGTTTCCCAGTAATGAGCGTGGGTGGATACAGAAAAGCAAAAAAGCCCTTTTTTTGTGGGCGGGAGTCGAGGCAGCATCCACCCACGGACTCCATTATGATATTCAAATGTCAATATATTTTTAATTGGTTTATATCCCCCCTCCCCCCCATCCAGCTGCCTTTGGTAATTAAGGCTCTGTAAATAGATTTTACTGTAATTGGTACGAGAAGGAAAATTGGAGGACATTGTACAGTGCATCGGGTTGGGCTGTTCTTTTTTTTCTTTTTTTTTCTCCCCCCTCCCTGTCTTCCCTCTTTTGACTCATGTTACATCTGTGAGCATTGTATCCTGGGGGGGGGGGAAGAGGCGGGGGAGCCGTGGCCAGTTTTGCACGAAAAACTCTGGAGCGGGAGGCCCAGGTGGTTTGCTCATGGCTGGGACACGGGGAAGAGCCAGGAACCGGCCCAGGATACCCCTAATGGTGCTCAGCTCCAGCACCAAACTGGGGAGACCCCCCAATTTCCACGCTGGATTCCACCTGCCTTGAGATGTAGCCAAAGCTCTTGTGACTGTTTATAATTCGCAGCCGCTGTCTGTTGTCATTTGGGGATGTTTCTTGCCATAAACTGTGATTTTTCTCTCTCCCTTTCACTGTTCTTCCAGCCTGTGCAAAGGACGGACTCTCTACTCGGTGGTGAGAGACGCCAAAATCGTCCTGGACGTCAACAAGACGAGGCAGATAGCACAAGAGATCGTGAAGGTACCGTGTGGTGGGGGCAGCCTGGCACTGGGGGGGGTCTGCATCCAGCCCAGATCCTGGTGGGATCACCCCGGGCAGTGGGAGAGAAGCAGCCAAGGATTCCGGGCAGGATGGCCCTGCTTGGCTCTAAAATCCAGGTCTCCTCGACCTCCCTGCCGTGCTTTGTGTGGCACCAAGGCTTCCATGGGGTGCCCGTGACTGGGGCTCATCCTGGTCGCCGCTCCTCTTCCCTCTTGGAAGCGCAGGTGTTGGAGCCCAGCTTTGCTCTGGGAATGAGTTGCTGGTTGGATATTCCTCTCCTCTTGTAAAAGAAAGTAATAATCATGGAATTCCAGAATGGTTTGGGTGGGAAGGGACCTTATATCTCATCTCATTCCACCCCCTGCCATGGGCAGGGAGACACCTTCCACTATCCTGGCTTGCTCCAAGCCCCATCCAGTCTGGCCTTGGACACTCCCAGGGATGGGGCAGCCGCTTTCCTGGCCACCTGTTAATAATTCCTGCTGTTAATAATCTGCTGTTGGTCCGAGGTTTCCACATCTCCACAGCAAAAGCATTCCCAGAGCCAGGGCTCCCGGTAGAGCCAGCGCCGTGGTGCCGGTGGCAGGACCCTGTGGTGCCACGAGGCAGAGCACACGTGCAGTTCTGAGACCTAAAAAAGCTTCTCCTGTCCCAGAGATGACTCAAAGAGCATCTTTGACACTTCAGGCGTGACACCGGGGAGGATCCTCACGTGGCAGGGTGGAGTGGCTGGGAATTTGGGTCCTGAGCCATCACAGCTTCCCAGAGGGTGTCTGCCATGGCCCCTGTGCCCGAGAGGTGTTGAGCTGTCTGCCAGAGTTGGGCTGTGCTGTGATTCCAAGCCTGTTTATCACCAAATGATACCAAAAGTATTTGGCACGTGTCCCACCCTGTGCCCCGCTCAAGGTCAGCCAACACCTCCACGCCAGAGCCCAAATCACCTGGGGCTGAGCTCACATCTAACATATTTCTATGGGGGGGGGGGAAAAATAAAAATAAGGTTTTCTGGCAGATCTTAACCCCCCTTAAATATTCAAATCCGTGTTATAAACTAGAGTGTGTAGATTCTGCAGTAGATCTTGGATGGTGCCATCCCCTGGACGGTCCTTAGGCTGGCTCTGATTGCCTATTTTGCATTTTATTTACACCCAGATTCAGCCAAGAGCAGATTGTTTCTAAGTTTTTTAATTTCAATTCCTCAAATTCTCCTGAAGTCTCTGGGCAGGGGAGCACAGCCTGAACCTCTTTGCTAAGCCAGCACTGCAAGGGGTGTCTTGGAGCCACGGCCTGAGCTGGGGGTGTCCGAGGCACCAAGAGCCTCTTTCCTCTTCAGTTCTACATCTGATCCATATTGTCCTCTTTTGGGATCTGGATTTTTCCCGCTGAGGAAACACCTGAGGCATCACGTAGTTGGGCCTCATATTTTTTCCCCCTGACTCGTGCTCAGGGCTCTCACCTCCTGGGTGTTCCCAGAGGAAGATTCTGGCTCAGTTCAGCCCCTTTCTCTGGGTGGGTTCATTCCTTAGTGTGAGTTTTTTAGGGACGAGGATGAGAGCGTTGCCTCCTGCAGCTGGTGTGTGTTAGGGACAGCTTGGCAACCTCAAACAAGGGGTGTCTTGGAGCCATGACTTCAACTGGGGGTGTCTGAGGCACCAAGAGCCTCTCTCCATTTCTACTTCTGATCCATACTTTCCTCTTTTTAGATCTGGATTTTTCCCTCTGAGGAAACACCTGAGGCCTCATATTTTTTTCCCCCAACTCTTGCTCAGGGCTCTCACCTCCCGGGTGTTCCCAGACGAATATTCTGGCTCAGTTCAGCCCCTTTCTCTGGGCGGGTTCATTGCTTGGTGTGAGTTTTTTGAGGATGAGGATGAACCTCAAACTCTTCGTGGGGTTGAGAGGCACCACCAGCACGGGGGGATCCTCACCGGGTCGGTGAGATGGAAGCACCACCATGAAGAACATCAGCACCATCATCACCATGAAGCAAATCAGATGCGGAGCTGACTGTACCCCCGGCAGCATCCCTGTATCCCTGCATTCCTTCTCCTTGGAAGGATGGGATTGGGTGATCCTGTTTCAGCCTTCAGGGCACAGGGACTCTGTGTCCAGTCCAGGTCCCTGGAGGAATTAGCAGAGGTCCAAAGGCTCAGCTGGGTGCTGAGTCTGTGCTCTCCCTGTGCTCCAGAGGGAATTTCAGGCAGAGGGAATTTAGGACCAGCACAGTAACAGTCGTTTTGTTGCAGAAATAATTCCGAGAGGATTTCTGAGGCCTGTCACTGGAGAATGACTGCTTGTTTTGGAGACACGGATCAGCCCTCTGAGTGGGTGGTCACGCGTTCAATCCTTTCTCTCCGTGCAAAGACTGAGGGAATTTAAGGCAGGAGAGGTCCATGACAGCCCTGGCACTGTGCTGTCACCCAACCACATGGCCTGGTTGTTGCTGTTGAAGCCTCCCAGCCTTCCCACCTCTCCACACCGACTTCCAGCAGATGTTAAGGATGTTTTGGTGGCCTTGGTGTGGAGAAGCAAAGGAAAACCCCAACACCTTGGTTTGGGTGGGCTTGGGCCTGCATTGCCCAGAGGAGCTGGAGGCTTTGGCTCTGCCAAAAATCACAGCAGTTGTTTGACTTTATCCTTTGAATCCTGGTATGTGATGGAAGAGCTGTTAAGCTGATTGGATTAGTGCGTGCAGGGGCTCTCCTTATCCCGGGATTCTCCGGAGGCGAGAATTTATCCAGGGACGGATGCCGGCAGAGGGAGCTGCCTTTTCACACACTCCCGCAGCCGAGCAAACGAAGGCGCTCCTGGGCCTGGAGCGTTTTCTCCCGGATCATCCCAGGGGTGAGGGTGGCAGGGCTGGAATGTGCAGTGGGATCTCCGTGGAGCGAGGTGAGGGATTTGGGTTTGGCTCAAGGCCTGGGCTGTGTCTGGTGGCCACGTGGAGATGAGTTCCCACCTGGCTGGGTGAGCACAGGAGCAAAGTCCCTGCTGCTCTCCGTGCTCCCACCACCCTCAGTTCCTGGGAGCATCCCCATGGAACTGGGACCCATCCCATCCCACAGATGCTCCTTGCAGGAGAAACGCTGGAATGCTGTCCCTCGCTCAACCCTGGCACTTTGTGAAGGTGACGGTGACATTTGAAAGCAGCTTTTTAAATCTCATCATTATTTCATGTGCTGGGAACTGGGGACCCCTAATTAATCCCGGTGCCTGGAATGGTCCTGACATCCAGCTGCAGCTGGAGCAGCTCAGAGCCAGCCACAGCCTCCCTTGGCAGAGGCTCTTCAGGATTTGACTGCCACGGGGTGCAGAGAAACCCCTGTAACTTGACGTGTCGGGGTGTTTTCAGTTTGCCTTCCCAATTTTTCCAGGTGGTGGAATTTGGATCGTGTCCTCCAGCCACCAGCTTAAAAAATATGCTCTTCTTCCCCACCCTGCGCGGTTAATGGTGATAGATGAAAAGATCAGGCCTAGGATGGATGAATCCCCGTGGAAATCCAGCTAATAAATCCCCCTTGCCAGTGACAGACAACCCATAACTCGCTCTTAAGCAACAGTTTGCCGGCCTGTTGGGCATCGATCCTCCGGCAGCCTCCTCTACATCAAGTTTTTCCCTTAGTCTGCTCGGGAGAACGAAAAGTGGGCCAGCAACAAAATCCCCGAGGGAGCCGGGATGAGTGTCTTTTATCCCCCTCCCTGTTCCCAGCGCCGGTTACCCCGCGGAGCCGAACATCCGCCGCGCGGAGCTGCCGGCGGTCGCCTTGATTTGCCGGCGCTGAACGAGGAGCGCTCGGATTTTCCCACCCGTGGCCTTTTTTTTTTTTTTTTTTTTTTTTTGCATCATTAGCAATAATTTTAATTAACCGCCGACCCGTTTTTTTCCTGGGGGAAGGGGAATTAAGGCGAGGGCTCCTGCGAGGAGCTCGTTTCCGGGGCTGATGGGGCCGGCGTGCGCGTCGGAAGCGCCGACGGCTCAGCCGGGGCCTCGCGACGGAGAGAGCGTTGACTTATTACCCTCCTCTCCCGGCCCCGAAAGAGAACGGGGGCGAAAACATCATCATCATCCATTTCCCAGCAGAGGACTTTCAGGGAAGTGGCTGCTGGTGTGTGGCTCGCCGCTAATTTTTCTCACGTAATCAATTAATCAGGAAGATGAGTCGCAGCCGAGACGCCCACGCCCGTCCCCTGCCAGCGATCCCTCCAGACACCTGCCCTTCCTGCAGGGGTGTTTTTTGGGATGTGTGGCTTGGATGTGCCGTGGCAGCCCCGGCTCTCCCTCGGGGGTCTCCCTGCTCGGGTGTTATGCTCTGGGTTTGTGCTGCTTTTTTAATTTTGGGGTGTTTTTCTCTCTCTCTTTTCCCTCCTAGGGAATGGGTTACCTGCATGCCAAGGGGATCCTCCACAAGGACCTCAAATCCAAGAATGTTTTCTATGACAATGGGAAGGTGGTGATCACCGACTTCGGCCTCTTCAGCATCTCGGGCGTTCTCCAGGCGGGCAGGTAGGACCTGGCCTGGGGCAGACACTGGAGTTCCTCCCTGTGCCCTGCTGAGCTGGGCACGTTGGGAAGGAGCCCAAAAAGCCCTTCTGTGCCTTTCTGTGTCTGCAGCCATGGCAGGCAGGAGTTCAAGGTGCCTTTGAGTGCCCTGGGGCTCTTTGAAGCTGGTTAGTTTTGGTCAGTAGGAAGGAACATGATGCCATATGTGAGTCTCTGTGTCTCTTGGACCCAACCTCTTCCCATGGGATGCATCATTTCCATGGCCAAACCACCCTGCAGCCATCCTGGGGATGCTCCTCAGGCTGTGTTTCTCTCTGGCAGGTTCATCCCTTGGCCTTTCCCTAACATATCACTAAAAATCCCTGGAATCTGCTTCATCTCCTGCCTGGGTCAAGTGGTTCCATCCCTGTGCTGTCCCCTCACTGCTCTGGTGACATTTTGGGTGTCACAAACATCTGGCCGTGGTGTCTGTGCTGAGCACAGAGCAGGACACAGAGAAAAGCAGAGCCAAGCTTGGGACATTTACAGCACTGTGACATTTTTGGGGTCTCGGAGGGTTTAAATCCAAACCAGTTGGTAAATGTTCCTTATGAAATTTCCTTTTCCCGGCACTCTGGGGGTTTTCCAGCTGTAGGCAGGGCAGGGCAGGGCAAAAGAGTTCCAGCAGCTGGGGAAAGGAAGAAAAGCAAAGCTGGGGGGGAAAGGAAGGAAACAGAAGTGGGGGGGAAAGAAAATGGAAAATAAGAGCATTGCTGACTTTTCCCACCTTTTTCACCAAACCCCTCGTGTCAGAAGCAGCACAGGAAGGTTTCCTCTGTGGAAATGATATATTTTTCCCTAGTTCCCATGTGATGAGGCCCAAGGATTAGAGGAGAAGGTGGTGGCTGCTTCTCTCCATCCCCTGCTGCTCATGGTGGATGGGCAGCCAGGCTTCCCCTTCTGCCTGCACAAATATCATCTGCTTTGGCACAGGCTCAGCCAAAAGCTTTGGGAATCCGAGAAATCCCATCCAGAGTGGGTTTTGCCTCTGGTTTAGCAGCTGGGCAGGGGGGGTTTGGGGCTCAGGTCCTGCCAGGGTGGAGGCACAGCTCGTTCCGGCAGCGGGAAGAGGATTTGGGCAAAAACGTCCTGAGTTTTGCCAGGAATCTTTGCTGTGAAGGTCAGAGATGCTCTGGAGAGGAAATGAGGGATGAGATGCTGGGGGAATGGGGTAGAGGACGAGGTGAACAATGCGTGGCCATCCCTGCTCAAGACTGGGATGTCACCTGGGGGGGGTAAAGTCCAGGGGATAAAACCCAGAAGATAAAATCCAGGGGATAAAGTCCAGGGCAGGGAGGATGGCCAGAAAAGCAAGGCTGGGCAGAAAATGAGCAGTGTTTGGATAGAAAAATCGAGAGAATGAGAAAATCTCTGCCCTGAGGGGCTTCCAGCATGGCCGTGGGTGGAACATGCTTTCTGCTGAGGGAGAGCTGAGAGAAGGCTCTTCAAACACCACGGATTTTGAAGCAGCAAATGTCTGCAGGTCAGCTTTGCAGCGTGGGTTTTCTGCTGGTTCTGGTTCCTCCAGAAGAAGAAGAGTGGTGAAGCCCAATTTTGGGTCCTTGGAGGCTTGGACAAACACGTGTGGAGAAGGCAGGAAATTCTGCAGGTCAGGTTAAGGGTGGTGACATTTCAGCTGCGAATGAACTCCAGACCAGCCTGATTTAAAGGGTTTAAAATACTTTCTGCAGAGACCTGGTGATTTGGTGGCTTCTCCTGGTGAAATCAAATTTATTTCTCTGTTGTTTAAATGTTACTGGGCTCGGGAAGGCTGATCTCTAATTAGGAGGAGTCTGAGGAGCTCTTGCTTTGTCTTGGGGGTGATTTGTCCTTGGTGGGGACTTGTTCTTGGTGGGGACTTGTCCTGGGTGGGTTTAGAAGCAGCTCACCTGGTCGAGCTCTCTCGTGCTTGTGGCAGTGGCCATGTGGGTCGGGCAGTCAGGGCAACTTTTGTTATAAAACCTGAAATTCCTGCCATTAAAACACTCTTGGGATGACATTAAAGCTCAGCCCCCATTGCTGGAAGCTCATAACCCACAGCTGAGTGCTCAGAGCTCTGGAAGGGACGATGGGTGGATCCAAACCCCGTCCCTGGAGCATCCCAAGGCTGAGCCTGAACGCCCCTCGTGGGATATCACAGCCCCGAGCTGCTGAAATGAGCACAAATAAAAGCTCCGGGAGCAAAGCCGGCCTCGCTGAGGGGTGGTGGAGCAGATCTAAGTGCTGCCCACTCCGTCCTGCTCCCCGCTGCCCGCCCGGGGCGGGGATGGCACACACCGGGAAGGGCGGGGGAGCTCCTCCGCATCCTCCCTAATTGCCCAGGTGCTTAATGCTGGCTTGTAATTAAGAGCTGTGCGGGCTGGAGGATGGTGGAGGGGGGGAGCTGAAAGCTTCCCTCTGTGCCAAAGTGCTCTTTTCCCGGCGGCTCCCGGGGCCGGAGGGTCCGCGTCTCTCCGCTGATTGCGGCCGCGGCTCCATCACAGCGGGGGGAAGAGGAGCCCTCCAGACCCCAGAGGGGGCAAGGAGGCCTAATCAGTGATTCCCTGGAACATCAATGTCCTTCCCTAAGGAAGGGGTTCCTCCTCTGGTGGCTGCCAGATTTCTAGGGGATGCCTCGGGATGGGGATGGTTTTGGAGACAGGAGGATCCGGCCGTGTGGGAGAAGCCAGCATTTGTGGTGGGAGCTTGTTGTCCTGCTCTGAGGGTGGATGGAGGTGCCTGTGCCTGGGTGGTGACCCCTGGGCTCTGGGATTTTGGCCCAGGAGGACAGATGTCCCCCAGCCATCCTTATCCCAGGGCATCCCTGTTTTTAGGAGGGATCTGAAGCACAAACAGGGAGAAATTCCTGAGTCTCTTCCTTTTCCACCCCAACATTACGTGGGACAGTTTTTGTTGCCTCCTGCTGCTGAGTTTGGGCTCAAACATATGGTCAAGCTGCTTAATGTGTCACCCCCAGCAGCGATTCCTGCCTTTTTTCCCTGCCCAGGGACCGTTTTCAAGCCAGTGGTGCATCCTGGGGGATGCAAAAGATGAAGGAGCAACCAACATCATCCTCAGCTGTTGGCCAAAGGAGCCCCATGTGTTCATACCGAGCAGGGGGAGCTCGAGGAGGGGGAGAAAGGACAGCTGAGGTTAAATGAGGGGCTGTTAATAAAGCCAGGCTGCTCCTGTGGGTGGTGGCACTGGAGGCTTGGACGTGAGGATGGGCTGGAGGAGCTGTTTTAAGGCCAAACACCTGAAAACACACATTTCCAGGTGATTATTTCAGGGTGGGTTTGCTCGTGGTCCCCAGTCAAGGGGAGGTTCAAATTTAGAGTGAGACTCCCCCTAAATCTCCAAATCTTCCTGTTGTTAGTGCATCAGGGTGGCTCCAGGCAATAGGATCTGGAGCATCCTGGGCATGCCAGCCTGGCATCATCTCTCCCCTGCATCCTCCTGGGGTGGGTGGTGCCAACAAGGAATTGTTGGGATGTGAGATGGGGATATGGAGAACTGAGGACACAGGTCTGGGAATCCCTGGACACCTCTGTTCTCCCGAAATCAGAAAACCCTCCTGTTGGGCTATGGACAAGGGTGGCTTTGGGTAACAGGGTCTGGAGCATCCCAGTTTGGGATGAGTTTGCTTAGTGGTCCCCAGTCCAACACCCTCCAGGGCCAGCTCAGTGTCAGCGCCGGGGGGAATTCCCCTCCAGCAGTGCTTTGCCCCCGAGGCTTTGAGGGTGTTTTGGTGCAACAGCCACACCAAGAGCCCTGTCAGACCTTACATCCCCATCGCCAGCCTGGCAGCTCCCCTCAGCACCATCCCGTGCCCAAATTTTGCCCTGCAGCCTGGCAGGGATCAATGCACACCCGTCACGCCGACGTTCCTCAGAGCGAGGTTAAAACCTGACTTTGCGAGGATGACAAAGACAAAACCAGGCTTAAACACCGTGGGGAGAGGGTGGCAGGGCTGGGGGGGCTGCTTGGCAGTGGTGACGTGCCCCCCGTGGTACCCCTGGCTCCGTGTTCCGGCAGGAGGGAGAACAAGCTGCGCATCCAGAACGGCTGGTTGTGCCACCTCGCCCCCGAGATCATCCGCCAGCTCTCCCCGGACACCGAGGAGGACAAGCTGCCCTTCTCCAAGCACTCGGATGTCTTTGCACTGGGGTGAGTCCTGTGGCATGGGGGTCCAAAGGGCTGCAGGGAACTGGTGGGGACGGGGACACCGCCTGCTTGTCCCAGAGCCGAGGGGATGCTGCCTGTGGGAACCCCCCAGGCTGGGCTGGGAGCACCTTCCTGCTTTGAGATATTTGGAGTGAAACCCTCGTGAAACCCTCCCTACACCATCAGATCCTCCTGGTTTGGCTGTGGACCAGGGTGTTTTGGACAATGAGATGCAGGGTATCCTGGCAGTGCCAGCCTGGCATCATCTCTCCCCTGCATCCTCCTGGGGCAGGTACCAGCCAGAAGGTGCTTGGATGTTGGATGTGGATGCAGGGGGTGGAAGACACAGGTCTGGGAGCTCCTAGACATGCTGATTCTCCCTAAATCACCAAATAACCCTGTTTTGGTAATGGACCAGGGTGACTTCAGGCAACGGGATCTGGAGGATCCAGAGGATGCCAACCTGGCATCCTCCTCCTCCTGGGGAGGGTACCAACAAGAGGGTGCTTGGATGTTGGCTGGGATGCAGAAGGATGGGGGTGCAGGGGTTGGGGACACGGGTCTGGGAGCCACTGGATGCCCTGATTCTCCCTAAATCACCAAATCCTCCTGTTTTGGCTATGGATGGCTTTGGACAATGGGATCCAGAGTAACCTGGGAGTGCCAGCCTGGCATCATCTGTCTCCTGCATCCTCCTGGGGCGGGTACCAACAAGAAGGTGCTTGGATGTCAGTTGAGGATGCACAGCTCTGGGAATCCCTGGACACCCCAATCCTTCCTAAATCACCAAATCCTCCCGTTTTGACTCTGGACCAAGGTGGCTCTGGGCAACGGGATCCAGAGCAAAAAGATGCTTGGACAATGGATGGGGATGCAGGGGGTGGAGGCCACTGGTCTGGGAGTTCCTAGACACCCTGATTCTCCCTAAATCACCAAATAATCCTGTTTTTGGTGAGGATTATTTGGAGCAGGGTGGCTCCAGGCACCAGGATCTGGAGCATCCTGGGAGTGCCAGCCTGGCATCATCTCTCCTCTGCATCCTCCTGGGGCAGGTACCAGCCAAAAGGTGCTTGGATGTTGGATGTTGATGCAGAGGATTGGGGATGCAGGGCTGGGAGCCCCTGGACATCCCAATTCTCCCTAAATCACCAAATCTTCCTGTTTTAGCTATGGATGGCTTTGGGCAACAGGATCCAGAGAATCCTGGGGATGCCAGCCTGGCATCATCCTCCTCGTGGGGGGGTACCAACAAGAATACCTTGGATGTTCTCTGGGGATGCAGGGGTGAGGGACACAGGTCTGGGAATCCCTGGACACCCCAATCCTCCTTAAATCACCAAATCCTCCTGTTTTGGCTGTGGATCAGGGTGGCTCTGGACAACAGGATCCTGGGAATGCCAGCCTGGCATCATCTGTGCCCTGCATCCTCCTGGGGCAGGTACCAACCAAAAGGTGCTTGGATGTCAGTTGGGGATGCCAAAGGTTGGGGACACAAGTCTGGGACCCTGGATGCCCCGATTCTCCCTAAATCACCAAATCCTCCTGTTTTGGCTGTGGATCAGGGTGGCTGTGGACAACAGGATCCTGGGAATGCCAGCCTGGCATCATCTGTCCCCTGCATCCTCCAGGTGTGGGTACCAGCCAAAAGGTGCTTCGGTGTCAGCTGAGGATGCAGAGGATGGGGGATGCAGGTCTGGGAATCCCTGGACACCCCAATTGTCCCTAAATGCCAAATCCTCCTTATTTGCCTGTGGATTAGGGTGGCTCTGGACAAGAGGATCCGAAGTATCCTGGGGCTGCCAGCCTGGCATCATCTCTCCCCTGCATCCTCCTGGGGGCACAAGGAGGTGCTTGGATATGGGATGGGGATGCCACAGCTGGAGAACAGAGGCCTGGGAGCTGCTGGACTCCCAGATTTTCCCCCTCACCCAGCTGCAGGGGTGTCCTGGTGGTGCCTGTGCTGCCAAAAGGCCAAGAAAAGGAGAATTCCTGAGTCTCCCTCAGCGATTCCTGCCCTTTGTCTGCCCACAAACCTCCCTCGGGGCAGGAGCCCAATCCCACCCCTACAAACCTGCGGATTTTTCCCGGGGGATTAATTTTCTCATGGATACCTTAAAGGCTGGGGGGATTAGGGTGCGTGGGCCCGTTAGAGGAGGTGATATTTCCATCAAACCCAGAGTAATTACAGCCAAAAGGACCTGCTTGGGGCTTTTTTTTTACCCTCCCCGAGGCACAACTTCGGCATGAAAATAAAGAAGGAATTAAGGGGTCTTACGGAACTGAGTGAGAGTGGGTTGCTGAGCCTTAATTTGCCCTTTTTCTCCTCAAGTGTGAGCTCTGCCCGTGCGTAAAGAACGAGTTTCCTTAAAAGATTAAAAGATTTTCCCACGTTTTCCCTCTTTCTTGTTTCTGCTGCCCTTGGTTAAGCCCTGGAGGCTCACGGATGATCCGGAGGGTTATTTGCTTCCCACGAGGGATTTGTGGGATCAGCGACAGCAAGAGGAAAAGAGCTTTTAAAGAAGGCAGAGATGTTAAATTAAAGCGTGTGAGGGTGGTGCAGAGCAGGGGGCTGAGTATGGTGGTGTGTCCTCACCAAAACCCGAGAGATCCCATCGATAATTAACATTTTGACGTGTGGTCTCCTCGTGCAAAGAGACACGGAGCAGCATCCTGCTCTCTGGGGCACCTCGGGAAACGCAGCCCAAATATTTTCAAGGCATCCAGAAGCAGGAAGGTGAAAAATTAATCCCCAAACTCCCAGCTAGGAACTTGAATGAATGGGTTGGATGTGCTAAATCCGACTGGAGGTGCATGGAGGCACCTCTGGAATCCCTGAGCCTGCCCACAGGATCCACCCCTCTCCAGCCCCCACCTCCTCTGCACCCACAGCACCAACGTTACTGCCACGTTATTCAAATTTTTTTTGAGATTTACAGCCAAACTGGGCTTATTTTTCTGAAATCAGAAGAGCCAATTTCCAAAATCAGGGAATGTCCCTATCCGGGAATGATCTCACATTTATCAGACCCCTTCCGCCAGATTTTTTCCACCCTGATGTCATTTCAACCCTGTGTCTTGCTGCTTTAACTGGTCGTGATGGCATCCCTGGAAGGGAAAAGCAGGTCCATGGAATTTGCCTTGGACAAGAGGGACGGCACCGCGGGAGTCGGGGCTCATCCAGCCTCTGGATGCCAGAAAACGAGGATGCAAAAAACTCCCAGGCGGAAGCGGGGGCGGAGGGCCGTGGGGGCGGCTGCCAGCTCAGCCAGAGACACCGTTGGTTTGGGATATTCCCTTGGATCTGGGATTCCTGGCGGAAGGGAGGGCTCGGTGCGGTGGCAGATGGCCGGGGGTTCGCCTGGGCCATCGCCCGGTGAGGGCACCTGGGACGGTTCTTGCCACGGCTTGGACGGGGTTTTGTAGCTTGGAAGAAGAAAAAGGGGAAAAACCAGAGCGCAAGTGGATAGTTGGGCTTGTCCTGCCCTGGAGGGGGTGTCGGGAACACCAGCCCAGCAGAGGGATCCTCCACGGGCAGAGGGGCAAAGTGTCACTGCGGCAGGGTGGGAGATTCCCACTGGATGGAACAGGATGGCTGGAGGCTCTGCCTGGACCTCCAGCAGCCCCTGTCCTCCTTCCCACGGGTTGGGATCATCCCTGGTGCGGATCAGGGCTTGCTCTGGGTCAACTCCTGTTTTCCATCCAGAAAATAGGAGAGGTGACACCTCTGTAACGAGGGCTGAGCCCCTCCGGTGTCATGAAGCGTCTCCTGGATGTCGGGGATTTTGGAGCGGGGAGAGATGGTGGGTGTGGGTGCAACGGGCAGACATCCCCACACCCCGAAACGCCTCCCAGCTCCTCCAGCTCCCTCTAATTCCCGTTGTGTCCCCACAGCACCATCTGGTACGAGCTGCACGCACGGGAATGGCCCTTCAAGACGCAGCCGGCGGAGGCGATCATCTGGCAGGTGGGAAGAGGGATGAAGCCCAACCTCAGCCAGATCGGGATGGGCAAGGAGATCTCGGTAGGTGGGTGGGGGGGGAGGCACTGCAGCTCCATGGGGGTGTGTGGGGAGGGACTGGTGCATGTCCTGGCTGCTGGGTCCCAGGAATCCGCACATGGATGTGGTGATGGAGATGGGTTCTTGTGGGATGGGCACATCCCCTCCATCCCAGCCCTTCCCAAGGATATGGTGATGGAGACAAGTCCTCGTGGCATGGATAAATCCCAGCCCTTCTCAAGGATGTGGTGATGGAGTTGGGTCCTCATGGGATGGACACATCCCCTCCATCCCAGCCCTTCACAAAGAGACAGGGCCTTATGGGATGGGCACATCCCCTCCATCCCAAATCTTCACAAGGATGTGCTGATGGAGATGGATTCTTGTGGGATGGGCGCATCACCTCCATCCCAAATCTTCACAAGGATGTGCTGATGGACATGGATTCTTGTGGGATGGACACATCACCTCCATCCCAAATCTTCACAAGGATATAGTGATGGAGACAGGTCCTTGTGGGATGGACAAATCCCAGCCCTTCCCAAGGATGTGGTGATGGAGCTGGGTCCTCATGGGATGGGCACATCCCCCCTTACCCAGGTCTTTACAAGGATGTGATGACAGAGATGGATTCTTGTGGAATGGGCACATCCCCTCAATCCCAAATCTTCACAGGGATGTAGTGATGGAGATGGGTTCTCGGTTCTCGTGGGATGAGCACATCCTCTCCAAGGACGTGGTGATGGAGTTGGGTCCTCATGGGATGGACACATCACCTCCATCTTAGCCCTTCCCAAGGTGGAAATGGTGTCCCCATGGGATGGGCACATCCCCTCCATCCCAGCCCTTCCCGAGGACGTGGTGACGCAGGTGGGGTCCCTGTGGTGTGGATGTTGGGCAGGGGGATCATGGTGGGCGAGGGACTGGCTGGGTTTGCTCAACTCCCCCCCTGTGTGGCCACAGGACATCCTCCTCTTCTGCTGGGCCTACGAGCAGGAGGAGAGACCCACCTTCACCAAGCTCATGGACATGCTGGAGAAACTGCCAAAGCGCAACCGCCGCCTCTCCCACCCCGGGCACTTCTGGAAGTCGGCAGAGTAAGTCCCTGCCCCTGCCCAGCCTTCCCTATTCCCAGATTTTACTGTTGAGGGGGATGCCCTGCCCAGGGGTCTCTCCTCAGACCTGCAGCTTCCAGGTCCCTTCTTCTCCCATGGCCAAATCCTGCTCTGTTCCACCGCTCCGGCTTAGTCACATCCCTCCGCTTCAGGGAACGCCAGAAATGAGTCCCCAGCCAGGGATTCGGGATCTGCCCTGTTGGAAACAGCAGGAAAAAGGCGGAACAATCACTTAGAAAGTCATTTTCTTCCCTTGAATTTGTCATATTGTGACAAACAGAACCAAAAGTCTCACCCACGCAGGGCTTGCATTCACGGGGGGGGTGTGTGTGTTGTGGTTTTTCTTTCTCCCGGACTGTGGAGGCTGGAAATGGGGCTGGAGGGAGGGAGAAGGATGTGAGCTGAGGGAGAGGGTGCTCCAAGCATCCCTCTTGCTCCTCCCTGAAGGTTGGAGATGCTCATTTCTCCTGCTACATCTGATAAGAACCTTCCTGGCTGCCTTATCTGTGCGGCGAACGCGGGCGGCCCCAAGGTTACGGGCACGCTGGAGTGTCCCCTGTGCCACCTCCTGTCCCCACACGGGGCTGAGCAGCACAAAGCCCTCGGTCAGATGGCCCCTAGATCACCTTGAACATAAGTCATTAATCAGGGGAGAAGTTAATTACCAATCCATGCTGGGAGCAGGCACCGGGGTGGCTCTGGCAGCCGGGCAAGGGAAGCTGAGGGTTGATGGCCCCCAAAGCAGCAGGTTGGGGAACTGCTCCGTTGGGGTGGGGAAGGTTTTTGCCATCACCTGCCATGGGCTGTGACTGCCCTGCAGCTCCCTCTTAATTACCAGCCCCCTCTTAATTACCAGCCCCCTGTTTTGCTAAGCACAAGTGGAGGGAGGATGTCTCGGCTCAGCACTCGTTTTCCATCTGAGCTGATTCCTTCCACAGGGACTCAGCTCTGGCTGTTGATCCTGGTCTTGGCTTCCCTGTGGGGTCCCTGCTCACCCGAGCTGGGTGTGGTATCCAGGGCTCTGCCACCCCTGCACCAATGGAATGGGAGACAAAATCCCCTCGGGGGTCCTGGAGGCACAGGGATGGGGGTGAGGCGTGTGGAGCCCAGCAACCCCCTGGAGATGATGCACCAGGAGAGCCCAACCCGGGCTGGCAGAGGGCAGAAGTTCACAGAATCCCAGAATCAACGAGGCTGGAAAAGCCCTCTGAGATCATCGAGTGCAACCTGTGACCCAGCCCCACCGTGTCACCCAGCCCATGGCACTGATGCCACGTCCAGCCTGTCCCTAAACACCCCCAGGGATGGTGACTCCACCCCATCCTGGGCAGCCCATTCCAGTGTCCGATCCCTCTCTCTGGGAAAAGCTTCTTCCCGATGTCCAACCTGAACCTCCCCTGGTGCAGCTTCAGGCTGTGCCACTTTTTGGGAGGGGGCAGCTCCACCCAAACCTGGTTGAGGAGGGTTTTTTTGCCATGAGCTGCCCCACAAACCCCGCGGTGCCAAAGCCAGCCCCAAGTGCTGACTCTGCTCCTTGTGTCCCTCGCAGGCTGTGACGGGAGGAGCCGAGGGACGGTGCCTTCCTCCCCCAGCACTTCTCCTCTTCCTCTCCGCTTCCCACCCCGTGCTGCAGAGGAGCAGCGGGCGCCGGGGGCCGACGGCGGGACGGGAATGAGACGGGAATGAGACGGGAATGAGACGGGAATGAGACGGGAATGAGACGGGAATGAGACGGGAATGAGCCTCTTCCCCCGCACGTTTCGCCCCGGGAAACATCTGCGGGGGCCAGAGGAGCCGGAGCGGCGGCCGAGCCCCGGGAATGCCCGGCTGTGGTGGGATGGGCTCTCCGCGCACACGGGGTCGGCCCTGGGGTCGGTTCCCCACCGAGCAGGGGTGACCCCCCCCACGAGGCAAACGACTTCAATTTTGGGCTCCTCTGACCCCACCCAGCGCTCACGGCGCTCGGCTGGGGCAGAGCTTGTGTTCTCGGTTCTCTGTGGGTTTATTTAATTTCCCTTATTTATTGCCTTTTTTTTTTTCTTCTTCTTTTAATGAAAAAAAGGGGGAATGTTGCTGATTCCCGAGTTCAGCACCGGAGCCTGCCGGGGCCGGGGAGTGCCGCCGCTTTTAGCTGCACCCCCCGCGGGGAAATGCATCTGGAGGAGCCCCCGCTCCCCCCACGGCCCCTCGTGGGCGGCCGTGACCTTTCACAAGTGGCTTCTCTACCTCCCAGCCGTGTCCACTTACGATTCCCCCCGCGGGTCTCCCTCCCAGCGGGACACATCCCTGCATTCCCGCTCATTTATCCCGGCGTGTGGCTCATCAGCCCGCCTTGACCTCTCGCCCTCCCCGCCCCTGCTCCGCTCTTGCCTTCTCCTCCCTCCCCAAATTCCGGGTTTGGGGGTGCGGAGGGGGCAGAGCAGAGCCGGGCTCGGGCTCATTCCCCTCTCCCGTGGCCTTCCCTTCGCTGCTGGAGCTGGGAATGCCAACGGGCTCTGGTTGTACAGAGCCTCTCCCCTCCCAGCCCCGCGCGTGGGACGATTCCGGCTGAACGACCCGTTTTCCCCTGCACATTCATCTTCCAGCTGCCAAACCCCAGCCCTTCCCAAAGAAACGCTCCTTGGGCAGCAGCTCGGAGCCGGTGTTGCCTTCGGAACGCCGAGTGCTGGCATTTCCCTCTCCCACCAGCTCAGGTGGCCCCTCCAGCCCGTCAGCTGAGCCGCCGAGCGACAGATGATGGCAAATTGCATTTCCAGGCCCTTATTGAGCATAATTGCTTGACAGGAACCATCCTGGATAATTCAGTTGGAGCCTCAGTTTAGCTTTAATTTGGAGACACGACGAGGCTGCGCAAACTAACCAGCCTTGGTTTGTTTGCTGCTCTCCTCCAGCTCTTCCTTGCCGGTGTCTGAACCACTTCAGCATAAGTAAAAGGAGATTAGAAACCTAATTGGAGCCGGGATGAGACGGCACTTTAATCGTGGGGGCGTGCACAAAGGTGCTTTGATGTCTTAAAATTCTCACACGTGCTGATGTGTGAAATCTGAGGTGGGCAGGAGCGGGGTAGGGGTGAATCCAGCCCCAGATGGGGCAGAGGGTGGGTCTGGAGGAGTCTCCTGCTGATGCTTTTGGGACATGTGCAGTCCAGTTGGGATGAGGCAGGGTCGCCTCCTTCTGCCTTTGGTGCTGAGGCCAAGTGGGCTGAGCAAGGGAGGGCAGGATGAGCCCCTTTTTTGGGCTGACTGCCCCGTGCCCCAGCAGCACAGGCGGTTTGGGGTCCCTGAGTGAGGAGCATCCCCTCATGCCATCGATGCAGGAAGATGCTCTGTGGCTGTTCACCCTCTGCCTCCTCCACATCCCTCTTTTTCCCTTCCTAACACCCTGCGCCCATCTTCATCCCGCCCCAGAGCAGAGCACCCAGGTCCTCTGTCACCCATCCTGCCCATCCCAAGCCCTCCTGCTGCCTCCCCCCTGCCCGTGCTTGTGCCATAAACGTTGCACTAAACCCTCAGAGTCTCTCTGAGGTTTCACCAATGCCTTCACCCGGGGTGCTCCTGAGCTCTGGGACAGGGAGAACACCCCCCCTGCCGCAGGTTTTGGCTGCCAGGGGGGCACGGGGAGGTGTCACCACAAAATCACTGGGCCCCAAAGCACCTTCAGGTGGGGAGGGGTCGCTGGAGAAAGGCTGGTGTCCTTGTGGCTCTGTGGGTTTAGTTTCTGAGCAGGAAAACTCACCTTCCTCGGTGAGGGGAAGGTGTTGGAAGGATGAAGGAGGTGATGCCATGGGTGCTGCTCGTCCCCAGGGGTGGCAAAGTGCTGTGGCCTGATGGATGTGCAGGTTTCTGGTGGAAGGGACAGTGTCCATCCCAAAAGGATTGCTGTGGGTTTGCTCCCTGCGCCCCAAGTCCTCACCTGGCCTGGAAAGTCTCACCTTGGCACGTCCCCCCGTGGGCTCTCCCAGCTGCTGACGGGCACCTGATGGATTTTATGGGCCAAGAGTTAAGGAAACAAGTGAACTGAGCAGTGTATTGGTTTGGTTGGTTTGGTGTCAGGTCCTCACAGGGCTCTGCTGCTGCCTCAGCCACACAACCATGGAATGGTTTGGGTTGGAAGGGACCTTAAATCTCATCCCATCCCACCCCCTGCCATGGGCAGGGACACCTTCCACTAGCCCAGGTTGCTCCAAGCCCCATCCAACCTGGCCTGGAACACTCCCAGCAAAGTGGCATCCACATTCTCTGGGCAACCTGTGCCAGGGCCTCCCCAACCCCACAGTAAATTATCTCTCCCCAACCTGCTCTCTTTTGGTTTAAACCCATTCCCCTTGTCCTGTCTCATTCCCCCTCGTCTGTGCTTTTTCCCCACTAGATTTTGGGCATCTGAAAGGAGCTAAGTGCTCCTTCTAGCCAACAAATCTCACAAAATCTTTCCTCTTCCCACCCTCTTTGTCCCCCTCTTCCCTCACCATGATGTCTCAGCCAGGCCACGAGCAGAGCTGTCACACAAACAGCACGGATGGCACAACAGCTGCCCTGTATTTATCATAAATCAGCTCAGAAAAGCATTCCTTCCCTTCCATCCTGTTCAGCAGTGGTGGTTCAGGCAGCAGTGTTATTTGCATCATGCCTTCTTATTTTTGAAAGTCCTAATTATTAAAAAAAAAACAAACCACAAACCACCAAACCAACAAATCTTTGTTTTTTTGACTCTGGCTTTGTGAGGGTGGTTTGTTTTTTTTTTATCTCCCAGTTTAAAAATATCCAGCCCTTCATCAGGGAGAGAATGTAGGAGAAGGTCTCCAAAAAACCCTCTAACAGGAGATCCTAAGGAGGGAGAAGGTCCATCCAGTGGCTTGGTCTAACTGTGTGAGCTAGAGGAGAGACAGGGCTGTTCCCAGAAGTGCCAAGTGAAAGCAGAGCTGGTTTGAGCACACCTTGAGACCCCAGAACCATCAGAGCTGGTTTGAGCA